GCTTCGTGCTCAGTAAAGCCATCTCCTTGTCCATAGCCTCCTTCCAGAAACTTGCTTGCTTTGATCTGATTGCCTCTCTGTAGTTTCGTGGTATCTTGATGTCACCTGCGCGCAATCCACCTTTGTCACGGCGATCTACATGCAGTGCCTTGAAAGCTGAATACACCGCAAAGTCTTCGTATCGTTCAGGTTTGCGAGTATTTGGAACTTCGCGCAGTCCTGGTCGTCGTGCTGCTGTTGCACGCTTCGCTCCGACCTTGGTACGCTGCCGGTCATGCGCACGGCGAACTTCTTCATCTCTCGGATGCACCTTGCCCACTAGTAGCTGCTGAGGAAACGCGAGAACACCATCTCCGGGTCCTGGTGGATCATTCATTTCATCACTCATGCCTTCATAGGCGGTATCTATTTCGTCACTCGGGTCGAACAAGCAGTCGTAGCCGTTGCATTCGCTCTCCTCGCTATCATTTACCGGTGTTAAATCCGAAACATGACTAACGTCCAGTCCATCATCTGTATCAAACTCATGCCCATCATGTTCATTAAATTCAGTTACCGACTCTGCGTCAATGTCACTTAGAGAATCTCCATCTTCCATCTGAGAAACATCAGCCGTGCGATTATCGTTGTCGTCATCAGCTTGAGAATCCTCATCAACTTAGGAATCATCTTCGTCATAACCTCCATCAGCACAATGCTCAACAATGGTTGTATTTTCGCCCTCCTGCGTATCTTCGAACGCATCAACGTAGTCTGGAAGCGAGTTGTTCTTTAGGATGTCCTCCCATAATCGCTCGTCACGTTCACCCAGTGTACTGCTAGGCGTGTTGCTCGATGGCTGGTCGTACTTGGGTAGTACACTGCTCTCCACAATATTGTCCCACATAGCTTTTTGAGCAACATCAAGGCCGTCGCTTGTAGCCACACTCTCCGTGTCTACATTACTATCAGCTCGCACGGATTCTGCGTCACACTCAGCTTGTTGAGACGCTTCATCACTATCACTTTCTACATCATCGAAAGCACCATCCTGCACAAACTCATCGAAAGTCTGCACCCACGGGTTCACCTTCGACTTGAAGGCACTTTTATAGCGGTCCTTGAACTTGATGTTTTCATTTACCTTCACATCTGCAACGAAGCCTTTCTGATGCTCGGTAGGGAAGTACACTTGGCAGCCAATAACATCTTCTTGATAGCCGATCAAAAACCCCACTTTGCAGTTCGCACTTAGTTTCTTGCGCATTGCGGCCGGTGTATGACAGTACACCAGAGATCCAAACGCGCGGATGTGATGAAGATCTGGCTCCGTGCCGTACATCATCTCGTACGGGGTTCGCCCTGCTCCCTTACAGAAGACTCGATTCTTTAGATAGACCCCAGTCTGTAGAGCATGCGTCCCAAACGATCTCGGAAGCCCTGAGTCGTGCATCATAGTCTTGACCATGTTAATCAGTGTCTGATGTGTCCTCTCCACCAAATTCAACTGTGAAGATTTTGGACCAACCTTCGTGTGGACAATTCCTTTCTCAGCATACCAGCTCTCCATTGAGTTGTTGCAGAATTCCTTGCCTTTGTCCGTGAGAACTTGCTTCACTGGCCCAATGTTGGCGTCGTTCTCGTCACGAGCTGCATCATCCCACCGTCGAAAGATCACTGTATCAACACGACGTCCGTGTTGCCGCTCGGCCCAGGCAATGTATTGCTTCATGTATCCATTCACCTCGCATTTAGTCTTCGACTTCAGCAGGTACGTTGTAATGAAACGCGAGAAACCATCCATTACGACTAACAGTGCACTGTACTGTGTGCCGTTGTGAAGTCCAGGTATCAGTAAGTCGGCAAACACTAAGTGTTTCACTTTCTCGATGTTCCGCTCCAACTTCTTCCGGAAGGTTTTGCGTCTCTGCTTGCCGAAATGGCAGTCAGTGCAATCCATCTTCCCACGCTTCTTCAGCATGATGCCCTTGGCTAATCAACGGTCGACCAGAAGAATGTACTCCGGGCATGTGTGCCCCAGACGCGCATGCCAGACGTCGATGTCCTCGACTCCATCCGTCACCGCAAAATTTGCCACTACCTGCTTCCTAACAGCAGTAGACTTCTTGTTGACTTGAACACCACCGATGTTGTGTGCGTCAAATGTCCACAGTCGATGTTTATGCTTTGCTCGAATTACCTCCGTGTTGTCCTTCGACATACCAAATAGCAGTGACGTTTGATCCCACGACATCTTGAAGCCTTGCTCCAGTGCTTGGCGAGGTGAGAACAGGTTACAACCAGCATTCGGCACGTATAACACGTCTTCGACAAAGCAAATACCATCTCTTCGTCTATCATGGTCGCGAGCAAAATCGTCCCAAAGCCTTTTGCTTGGGCGTCGACACCGTCCGCGAAGCCCGAAATTGTCGGGTTCCAGTCGCTGTCTTCCATGTTATTCAGTACCGTAAAGTACTCCTTGCTCGCCACAATATGGGCGCTGGTCCCACTGTCGAAATACCAACGACTGGAATCGTAGTCCTTCGCCACTCGCTTCACTACTTCTCCCAACACCACGTCACGCTTGTGCATGCGTGTATCCTCAACGGTCGCATCCGCTGTAACTTGAACCGCGCGCTTGACATCAGACCGTGCCATCTTTGCCTTTGCACTCTTCTTCTCCCTGGGTTTGTCCTCCAGGTCCGGACACTGATGCTTGTAGTGGCCCTTACCTCCGCAGTTAAAGCACTCGACGTCTGCCTTTGCCGTTCTCTTCTTGTTTGCATCTTCAGTAGTCTTGTTCTGACTACTCTTCTGTCCGCTAGAAGCATTGTCTTGCTTCTTCTTGCGTTGGTTATTGCCGAATGCACTTTTCTCCCAGTCCTTACTGCGAGTCTCAGCGGTGAGAATCAATTCTCGTACAAGATCAGGTGTGTACTTGCTCATCTTCGGCCCAAGTGGCCGCTGGAGGGCGCGTCATGCGCCTCCGCGAGGATATCGAACTTCAGATCCTCGTCGTTGGGTACGATGACCCGTGGAGGATCAGTGGGCTCCACCCGGTAATAGAAGAGGTCCTCCTTCAACTCGTATCGGTGGAGCCATGAGCGCTGTCGCGACGAGAGCCAGTCGGACTTCGCGCTCGTTCCTGCCGTGAGGAATTTGATGATAGGCGTGACAGCCTCATCGTCCCGATACGCCATGCGTATCCGATCATATAGATCCGTTGTCACCCGTGTGATGTGGGCCACCTCGTAGTCAGGACGCCGAGAGAGGGCGTCCGCAAGCACGTTGAGCTTACCCAGCTTGTATTCGACACGGAAGTTGTACTACACGAAGAAGGACAGCCACCTCGCCATCATTTGGGAGAGGTGAGGCGAGTTAGTCGCCGTCCTCAAGGACGCGTGGTCTGGGTAGATCACGACGGGCCGGGAGCCCAGGAGGTGAGCACGAAACTTCACAAGGGCACATTTCATTGCCAGGAGCTCCTTGTCGTGGACAGGGTAGTTCCGCTCGGCGGCTTTAAGCTGCCTGGACTGGAACGAGATGACTCGCTCGTGTCCAACCGTGTCGGCTTGTAGCAATGCACATCCGATTGCGTAATCGGAGGCATCGCAGACGACGCTAAACGGCTTCGTCTCGTCCGGCAGGGCCAGGACAGGGGCCTCTTGGAGACTGGCCTTGATGCTGTCAAAAGCATCCTGGTGCTCCTGCTCCCAGCGCCAGTCGACGTCCTTCTGAAGGAGGCTCGACAAGGGCTTAGCGAAGCCCGCGTACCCTGCGCTGTACTTGTGAAGGTAGTTGGCCAAGCCCAACCACTTTCGAAGATCCTTCTGGGATCGGGGCGTTGGCCAGGCTGCTATGGCCTTGACCTTGTCTGGGCCGGCCCGAACGCCCACGTTGCTTACGAAGCAACCGAGAACTTTAATCTCTGGTGACGCGAAAACGCACTTGTCGATGTTGGCGTAGAGATTGTTCGCTCGCATTACGTACAACACTCGACGGAGGTGCCCCAGATGCACCTCCTTGACCGTCTTTCCTCCCTCGGCACGGCTATGGACGGCATTGTCGTCGAAGTACGTCTGTACGAAGGCTCGCAGTGGCCTAAACAATTGCGTCACCAGGCGATTGAATGTCGCCGGGGCGTTAGACAAGCCCTGCGGTATAACGAGCCACTCCCAAAGCATGCCGCTTGGAGTGCTCACCGCGGTGAGCGGGATGTCACTCTCTCGCATCAGGATCTGGAAGTATCCGTCTACCAAATCCAGCGCACTGTACAATACGCTCCCGGCCATGTTGTTTATCAACACATCCTTTCGTGGGATTGGTGTTTGGGCCGGCACCGTCGCGTTATTCAGCTTTTTATAAGCATGAATTAGACGTTACTTTCCGTTCGGTACCAATTATCCCGGAGTATGACGTGTCATACTCCTGAAGTGTGAAGTGTCACACTTCATGTAACCAGAGTACACTTAGGGCTACGTACCCCGTTACAATATCTCCTATGATTAATGAGAGAAAAGGTGATAGAATGTTGGACCCGTACCTAAGCGGGAAAAGAAGGTGATGTTACAGAAGGGGAATAATTTTGCACACGCTCTCTGGATTATCACGGGATTCTGGATTTTATCCAGAATCCCGTGATAATCCAGTGATTTCGCTTACCCTGTCATAACAGTTTCGAATCGTATGATTACTCATTTAAGCAGTTTTTATAAAGCAGCTTTCTTTTCACAAATAAATTATGCACGTAGGCTGACACATCAACCAAAGATGAAGTTGCTAAAATTTTACGTTGTCAGCTACTGCTATTTGATTTGCTTGCTAATTGCGCTTGTCAAAAAATATTTAAAGAAATCATAGCTGATTCTGGTTACGCTGGTATGTATTTATCGATAGTGATGTTACGAAAGTAGGAGAATGACTGGTGATATTTTTTTGGACGGGCGACCAGATGGCCATATTTTTCGTATCATTTTGGATACGAAAAATATTTGACTCCTTTTAAAATCGTTTTGGAATCGGTTCGGAACGGTTTTGGGATCTCCCAAATCGGTTTTCTTCTCAATCGACCGCTGGAGTCATGGTAAGAAAGCTTGACCAGCACTCATTGTTTTCGTCGTACTTCCACTTCAGACAGAAACAAAACGTGTCCGGGTTCTCAACGTAGACAAAAGTTTTCATCATGAGTGGGTCATCCGTCTGCTCAGCTCCTTCTTTCAAGCGACTAAAAACGCGATCTTTGCACTGTGCATCCAGCACTTTCACGAAGACTTCGACCTAGCCACTATAGCATAAGCACCCTTGCCAACACACAACATCAATGCATACATACCTTGTATCTGTTGTTGACGGATCGAGTTGCATCCACACAACCTGGGAACATGTTGACAATCGGAACTTCCATGCTGAGACCATCGTAAAACCCATGCATCTCGCGAGAAAGTGCAAGCCGATTGTTCGCGTCACGATCGTACTTGGCGAATTCTCGTTTGAAGTCTCTGTCTGTACATTTCTTTTTTGACACCAAATGGCAGCTCTCCGCCTTACCATACGGCAGGAAGTACATTTCATGTTCGATCCGTTGAAACTGAAACTCGTCAGTCAAAGTGTCCAGAACTGTCACACTTGTACTCAGAGAAATGGACGAGATTGTGTCTTGCGGCGACTCCGGATCCTGTGGGTCATAATGGACGAAGTAGATACGCTTTAATTTAGTGGGCAGACCTCCAACATGTGCAACACTTGTCGTAACTTCTTGGCCATTCAGCGGAGAACCCAGCGTAACTGGCTCTTCCTGTAAGGAATTGTCGAACCGCAAAGCATTCTCTTCTACAATAGTAACGCTCGAGTGAACACAAGCAGATTGCCATGCACCAACGAGATAAACGTACCTGTCTTGAAGAGAACATTGATGCACAAAGTATTGTCTTCGTACCAGAGCGCGGTATTCTTGTCACCGGTGCGACGAGTAGGATCATAGTACCCAAGGTATGTTCCAGCCAGGCGGTAGAGTCTACAGCGAACTCCTTTTGTACTGAGAGCATTCGCAACTGATCCACGAACCAGCCATAAACCTGTTTGCTGATATGGTGCACCACCTTCCGCAGCTTCTGGAAATTCCGTGATCTTGGCATACTCGTTATGTTGAAATCTCGACAGCCATAAGTTCGTCCCATCAGAAATAGGCGCACTACTTGTCCAAGGAGGCAACGCCACCAGCACTTGAACAGGTGTGTTCATCGACTCGACATCCTCTAGCGTGGGTACGAAGTTGACTTCCTTCTCCGACAAGCCAACCAAGCCGAGCGGCGCTCCTGCCACGCCCAACAGCTTCAAATCACTCGTGTCACTTACACCGACCTTCACGTCGTTCTCCGTTAGCCACACCCCAGCGCCTTTCTTCTTCTTCGCCAGGAAGAGCTGCAGCTTGTCTGCATCAACCTCTTTGAAGTCGTTGGCCTTCTTCGCCTTGATCGCTTCCTTCAAGTCATCCACAATTTTGCCTTCGTCTACTTCCACGGAGAACGCGCTTCCCGCCACACCAACAATAGAACAGAAAAGCTTCACCATCTCTACACGAGCCGATGAATGTGGAAAAAGGGGGGAGAGAGAATTTCTTGAAAATGTATCACCCGTACCTAAGCGGGAAAAGAAGGTGATGTCACAGAAGGGGCGCTACCTATTTAGTGAGTCACTCAAAATACAAATTTCATGTTATTTCGACCTCATTTTGTAAGAGCATAACGCGAATTTGGGTAGTAGCGCTTCTGCGCTGCATTCATGCACTCTTGTGTGAATTTACCTCCATCTTTGTTTATTCTTAATTTTATATTTATCAGGATAGAAAAGTTAAAAAGCTGGTACATGTAGTCCTAGGCAAGCATTGGCACATACAACACAGCGATAAAAGTTCATTCACGATAGTGCCTCGTAAAGATTGAAACAACGAACTACGTATACATGTAAGAGTACATAGGCATCGACTGGACTAACTGTCGCGCATAATCCATCCGCCTCGCCATGAGAAACTCTGGTTCCACCACATCTGCCATCAACTCGTATCGTTCCATCATCTCCTCTGCACGAGCATCAACCGGCTGGGGCAAGAAGTCATCAACCTTGATTGTCTTGAAAGATCCAGGCATGAATGACGGAGGAGGTGGGGCAGAATCCGTTCGTCCCAGTGCGGCTGCCTCGACAAATCTGAACGCGTTCTTTGGATACTTCAACGTAACTTGGGTCAGAATGTGCTTGTCGCTGAACCAAGAGAAATGCCAGTGGTCGTTTAAATCCGTCAACAAACTCAGCGGATAGCAATTGAGAGGCGCCTTCATGCTGCAGCTCACAAGTTGACCAATTGCTTGAGGAACATGGCCCGGTTCGACTTTCTTCTTGAGCTCGATCACCAAGCTGACCCCAGCCAGCTTAATCAGTGGGTTTTTCGCTGTTCGATTGATGAGCAATACATCAGCTGTGCCTTTCATAGCAAACGGAAGTCTTGGGTCCACGATATTAAGAACTGATTTATCGCCCGCAATGTCATCCAACAAGAAGTCTCCTCGATCTATCAGCGTCTTCAAATGCTGCTGCAAGTACGCCATGTACCCAGCCCTTTGACTTTCCTCGCTCTCCACGATTTTTGGAGTCTACGAATAACCGACGATGGAAGTATCGACTGGCTCCTTGACATCAGGAATATTTTCGGTCAAGCGCATCTTCTTGACAATTCGCTCTTCCATCGCAGTATTCAGATCGGAAAACGAATACGCAGACGCCTTCTCATCTCGTTCCCTGAGAACCTTATTCATTGACATCTCCACTTGCTCTACTGTCAGTGGCGTTGTTGCTGCAGACATCTCTTTTGAGATAGTACCGTCTTGCTCCGGAACCACCACCAGCACGTGAACAGGTGTGGTCATCGACTCGACATCCTCTAGCGTGGGTACGAACTTTACGTCCTTCTCCGACAAGCCAACCAAGCTGAGCGGCGCTCCTGCAACGCCCAATAGCTTCAAATCACTCGTGTCACTGACACCGTCCTTCACGTCGTTCTCCGTTAGCCACACCCCAGCGCCTTTCTTCTTCTTCGCCAGGAAGAGCTGCAGGTTCTTGGCGTCGCATGTGATCGTCGATGCGTTCTCCTCCTTGATCGCCTTCTTCAAGTGCCCCACGGACTTGTTCTCGTCAATGTCCACAGGGAACGCGCTCCCAGACACACCAACGACGGCACAGTACAAAGTAACCATATTACGGCCGAATCCTGGAGTGAGGAAAAAGGGGAGAATTTCCGTTCGTATTTAAACGGAATTGAAGAGACATCCTCTCATTTTATGTTTAGCGTTAGGTTTATGATATAAATCTTACGAGTACTGACCATATTAAATAGTCCATTTTAAATGGTCAGTACTCTTAAGTCTTTCTTACAGCATTACTGTGACTTCGATATATTGTGGTTTTCAGCCTTTTTGCCGCCCGTTTTAGCTACGCATCTCTATGGGGGTCCGATTTGTAAAACTGACCTCTTATAGGGATAGGTTGAATTATTTCGGAGGGCCAGCTGAGTGACATCCTCACTGGTCACGGAGACAGCAAAGCAGCGGAGCAGGCAGCAAGGTAACCAGGGGCGCACGCCGTCGGTAAGCTATAAGCGCATTACTTGGCGGGAAATGCACCTTTATAACTACACCTAGTCTGTACAGAATGCTGGATAAGAAGAAGGCCAGAGAAGACCCGAGGAGCCCACGGACATCGAGGGTTGGCAGCCGCAGGAGAAGGAAATATGCGTGAAGCTGCTTGGGACGCCGTGCTCACGAGGCATGCACGCTAACGCACAGGTACGGTCTCTTTACTGCTTTTGATCAATGCTAACTGACTGACTTCGTACTCCTCATAATGGCGCACAGAATGCAAAGGATATATACCAATCTTGTCGGTAAATTTATAGGTAAGTTGCAGTTGCATTGTTAGTCGTCGGCTATTGAGTAGCAGGCTTGAAGGATCGCTGTGCTAATTATGACTCTGGTCTAACGCCTAGATAAGAAGCGAAGGCCCTCATACACTACGGACATCATATTGGTCTATAATAAAGCCTAATACTGAGGACGAGCAAGCACTGCAATAATTTGTATGGACAGCTTGAATTCGAATCGCCTAGCATGCGAACATTTAGAGTTTTGCTGTCATGTCGACTAGCGGTTTCGATGGATCGAGCGACAGCAGTATCGTGCCTGGTGCCGGTGCGTCTACAGGGGCTACGTCGTCCTCCGCTCCATGGGCAGTCGATGCTCTCGGGCCGCCCGATGCTGGCCCTCCGCCGTTGCCAAGTCGAGCTGATGCAATACTGACTATACGAGTGGGAGAACCGCTTGGCCGCACTCGTGGTGGCTGGAAGAGTGATGTCAATTTCGAAGTTTCTGAAGGCTATGCAGTTTTTAAGCAGAAGTGTATTGCAAAATATACCGCGCTCGTGGCGTCTCCTGAAGTATCAAAAAAGCCTCTCGTACTACCAGACGACTTATCCGTTTACTTGCGGCGTGCGAGGAACGATACTCAAGCCAAGTTTATCGAGCTGACGTCTGATAACTTTTTGACAACACTTCAATACCGATGGAAACTACTCACAACCGATGATCTCCGCCACATTGGAGACTTTCGCTTTGAGGCGTTCCTCTACGTCAAGCGGGCAGCTCAACCAGAGCAATTTCACCGTGCTACCGCGGGTCGCATTGCCAATGCTCGAGTACAAAGGATAGCGTACGAGACAGCCAATGCAGTGCAGTTTGGAGCAATCACCTCGCACCATCTTGATGTTGTGCATGCAAGAAGGCCGGAGTCGACTCCATTTGAAGTTCCTGAGGATAACACAACTGCACAAGCAATGGAATTAGACCGACAGCGAGAGGCTCTGCAGCAGCAGGAAGCCGATGAACAGGCCATACCGGATACAGCAATTGTGAGCATTAGGGTCAATGGTTTATGGATGCCTCTGGAGGTCGACATTCTGTCACTTCGGCGTGCATTACGACTGCCGGACCACGATATATTCTCTCGCGGTATCTACCATGAATTCACACCCACTCAGCCAACCAATGGAATGATGAAAGACGAGGACCATGCCGATGACGAGCCCATGAGCTAGAAGAAAACGCCAGCTTAGTGCAGTACGAGATGCATGTATCGAATAATATTCATCATTACAAAATTAAGCTACTCATAGTCTGCACTTCTTCGAACTAGATCGTCAAAAACTTGGTCTCTTATTCCAGTAGCCATGTAACCACAGTGACGAAAAGTGCCAAAACAACCTTTATCTTCGAGACGCGTACACGCTCGCATTGCAACATCCAGAACCTGATCTGGATACAATGGAAAAACGAGATTAGCACGCCTTTGAAGCCAACGTTTTAGAAGGCCAAAGCACGGCTCTATCGGGTTGAGCTGTGGGCAATAGGGCGGTAAAAATATTAGTATAGCTCCACACTGGTGTATGGCTTCTTGGAGCTTTGGGTAGGCATGGATTTTGGCGTTATCCATCACAACAATGGAGCGAGGAAGGGGCCACGGGTTCAAAGTTGGAATAATATGCTCCACAAACGCCTCGTGGAACTTATCTCGCGTGAATGTTCCTTCAGTCCACTTCCATGCAAAAAATCCTCGCATATCAAGCGCGGCTAGAATTGATAGTCGCGTTCCTCTTCGGAACGGCATTTTCGCAATTGCTTGGGTATTTCGTTTCGACCACCCATAGCGTCGTTGAGAATGGCGTCCGTCCTTAGCAGTCTCGTCTAGAAATACGAGTTGCTCTGCAAAAGAAAAAAGTGGAAGAAGCTTGGCGCGGTAGGCTTCAATTTCCGCAGGGACGGCTTCTCGGGCGGCCTTGGACAACACTTTTCGGCTGAGCTTGAGATCAAAATTGAGTACGCGACAAATCGTCGCTGTCGAGACTGTAGTTATTGCTGGAAAATTCTTGACAATGTGCTCACGTAGCTCTTCGATGAAAAACGTGGGGTGAACTTGTACGTAAGCTTCGACAGCGGCAAGTACGTCAGGTGGCCAGCGTGTGCAGGTCTGACGAGGCTGTTTTTCATTGACAATGCCTTTCTGGAGGAACAGCGCGTACCATCCGCGAAGGGTGCGCTGCTTAGGACCGAATAGATCAGATACGTATACAGTTGGCACGTCGTAGACATGCATCAGTGCCACCGCACGCCATCGAAAGTCATCGCCGTAGGTCATAAAGATACTTGCAATTATCAAACGTGTCATTTGGCAACTGTAAGAACTGCAATGCCGGGGGAGGGCTGAGGCTGAGGATGAGGCTGAGGCTGCAAGGCGGTTACTTATACCGTTTTGAAACGGCAAAATGGAGACTTCTCTACAAAACTGGCCTGAAATCGCTCTCTTCACCTATTCGCCTATCACATTTCGCACCATCGTGCTTGCCATATCGGAGCTGCTCGCTATTTTGGACCCCTTATCTCGGGATAAGAGACCTCCGGTTTGCCAAAATGGATGAAAACCACAATAGCATATATCGTCGGAGATAAACCGACGCGTCACTCTAAGTTAAGAGCGAAATAGGCCTGTGACATTAATATTTACACAATAGCAAGCATTCAATGAACAAACCCCAGAAACTTATTCCCTAACCAAGCAAATAAGTTCTTTGATAGTTATACCTCAACAATTTCATAACTCGTTAAAAGGCAAGCGGTGTAATATAAATGAATTTACTTGATATTTGTATTGGCTGAAACTGTGTGTAAAATACAACACACGGTACGAATAAACCCCTGTTGGGCTGTTGCTATTAAAGTTAAGTTTTCTTCGCTCCGAAGCACTACCAGTAAAATAATACTGAGCAGAGAAAACGTTTTAAATCTTTTTAGCTCTTTAAGCTAACTGATTAAAGTTTTCACAGAAACGTCATCACGGGCAGCTACTTACCTGCCATGTACTGCGCACACCTGTGCGCAGAGGACCTCGATGAGCTTGCTCTTAGCTCCACATCAAGCGTGCTGTTCCCAACGGAAGGTAAGCCTACTTACTCGCCCACTGCCAATCGCATCCGGCTGTTGCGGCACCCCCTCCTTTTGTAGTGACATATTGCGTTGCCGTGTCTGAAGGGGCTGCCATATATCTACTCAATCTATCACTAAACTTACTTATCTAGTCCAAAGCGCATGCTGTGTGCGAGCTTGGCCGCTTAGGTGGCCCCTCCTTATCGAACATTGTTTGTTCTTATGCAGCTGACCGAGCTCCCATCTAACTTACTCTGTAACGGGGTACGTAGCCCTAAGTGTATTCCTAGTTACATGAAGTGTGACACGTCATACTGCGGGATAATTGGTACAAGGTACCAAGGTCGTCCGAAGCCAATCATTGGCAGATGACATTGCTTTTCTAAAGGTGACTTATAGTTTGTACTAAACCTAAGCTTTATCTACCTATAAATATACTCAGTTTACATTGTACCTTAAGTAGGTCATTGCGCTCCCTTTTGATAAAGAGGGGACCTGTGAGCTGCCGTTCACTGAGAGTTTGTATACTCTCGGAAGGTAACTTCCTCTAGCGCAAGGTGCTGTGTGACCCCGTCACACTTGGAAGCACTCGTAGTCAATCCACGCCACCGCGGGTAGACTACCTGAACCTCTCCGAAGCTCGTTGCCATGGATAGGAACGACTTCTCCCATATGAACGACTCTCAGTTTGAGTCGGTTCGGAAGATGGCAGGCATCTTCGGGATGGAGCCCCTGCAGAGCCCGGTGGTGTCAGCACCGGCTGAGCAGCTCGAGCGCGTCAATGCATTCGTCGCGTACGAGCAGGGCCTCATCGCGCATGTGCGGGAGAACCTGCAGGCTCCGGCCGCGGAAGCAAATCCGCCTCACCCGAAGCCAATACGGCTGAAGGTTAAGCCGTATGAGGGGAAGGAGGGCGAGAACCTTCACTTCTGGGTCCGAGAAGTAGAACTCGCGATGGACGCGGCTCTGATCTCGACCGAGCAACTGCGTGTTGCTTTGGCACTCTCCAACCTTAGCGGCCGTGCTAAGAGTTGGCTGTACACACGAAAAGCAACATCCCCTGGATGTTTCACATCCTGGGCTCAGCTGTGCGAACAGCTCCGAGCCGCGTTCCTCCCGGCGAGCTACGAGTACCGCCAGCGCTCGCGCTTCCTCGCGTGTAAACAAGGAAGGCGCGAACTGCACGAGTATGTGCAAGAGATACGGGAGCTCACGGCGTCCCTAGTGGGAAACCCACTCAACGAACACATCAAGATGACTGTGTTCATGGACGGCCTTCGAGTGGGTCCCGCACGCACTCAGCTGTTCCGGGTGCAGTCAAGCACCCTTCAAGAGGCGATTCAAGTGGCTCTTCAAGAAGAGTACAGCCATCGCCAGGCGCGTGCGCCGGCCTCAGCGTGGCCTGGGAGGTTCTTGTCGGCTTCCGGTCGAACAAGCCCCAACGGACCAGTTCCCATGGAGCTCGGGTCCGCCGAACAGCGTTACATCCGCTGCTTCGGCTGTGGAAAGATGGGCCACTTCAAGCGCGACTGTCCAGCGGAAATACTCCGCACACGGTCCTTCCCCAAGCCCGTCCTCAAGGGTCGCTGGCAGAAGCCAGGATCCCGGGGACAGGGGAACGCCGGGAGCCAGTAGGGGCGGGGCGCCTTAATGGGGAAGAACTAAGTCTTCGTGATGGGTGCGCGGGTGGCGCGTACCAAGGGGCTTAGCCCCTGAGAGGCTTCGCACTCTCGAATCGGCGAAGAGCAGCGGCGGGTTGCTCGTAGTACACGGATGTGTACGGGGATACGATCATCCCTTTAGAATCTTTATCGATTCTGGGGCGTCGAAGAATTTCGCACGCCGCCAGACGGTTGCTCGCAACAGCAACAAGTTGTCCGATGCTTTGAGAGAAAGCAAGGGCAACGGGACGGTGTCAGTACGACTGGCCGACGGGAAGGTCGTCACTGCCCCCAACGTCCAAGTGGATCTGGCCGTCAAGTTTGAAGACTTTGACAGCCTCGAACGGTTCACTGTTCTCGATATGGATCCATATGATATGATCCTGGGCATGCCCTGGATTGAGAAGCACGACCCCTCGATCGACTGGCGAGGCAAGGCAATTGGTGCCAGCCGCCCTGCGCAGTCCGACAGAGCATTGGTGAGTCATGTTCCCACCTCTGTCAGGACTCGGGGCACCCGCAAGGGTTGCCAGGGTACCAAATCATCCGGCAGATGTTTGGGAGTCGTCGACGTATATGACGACTCCGAGGATGTTTTGATGGTGGCAGCGCCCAGAGGAGGCGCTGGCCAAGTGGGTAACTTAGTTTCGCAGACAGCTGCAGCTGTCACGAACACTGACAATAACGTGTTCAGGGTGGGTAACAGAGTGCCCCACGCGGTCGCCCAGACCTTAACTGAAGTGGGAGGCGTCGAACACGCTTCCTGTGTGGGTACCTCAGTACCACACGACGCCACGAGTGCCTCGGATGTCGGAGCGCCGACATCCCCAGACGTGGGTTGCAAAGCTCCACGTCACGGTCGCCGTCGACGACGACGACGCCGCCGCCACAAGTCGGATCTGAACGAAGTTCAGATCCGACTTGTGGCTTTACGCGACTCGGAGTCCAGGGCCCGTGCTCCTCCAACAAGGCTGGTGGAAGGGTGTTATCACTCTTCGATGGAGAAACCGGTTTACCCGTTGAGGCATCTGGTATCCACTTGGAACTGCTGCCAGAGGTTGCAGAGATAGTGAACCTCGAGGAAATGACGGTCGAGTCTTGCCTGGCCAACCTTAAAGCTAAAAAAGGCTGCCGAGATGTTGCTCATAAGACCTGAGACCGCTCGGGTCGGAGCTGAACGTCTCATCTGTCTTGGACGGTGACGTCATGGAATACTTGAACAAGCAGCGTCAGACGCACTTGGGTTCCGAGATCCTTAAGAACCTCATTCGGTGTAGCATTTGGAGATGGCGTATGCGGACGTGGTGACCAAACACCCACCGACCCAACTCCCACCAGATCGAGGCGTACGGCATGGGATTGATCTCGTGCCTGGCACAACGTACTGTGTCACGAGGCAATAGTCTCTTCCGCGCGAACAGTGCGAGGTCATTGATGCATTCTTCGCTGCGAAAGCGAAGGCAGGCATGGTGCGGGAGGCGAAGTCCCCGCACTCGACGCCAACTTTCTGCGTCCGGAAGCCGAACGGAAAGTAACGTCTAATTCATGCTTATAACAAGCGGAATAACGCGACGGTGCCGGCCCAAACACCAATCCCACGAAAGGATGTGTTAATAAACAACATGGCCGGGAGCGTACTGTACAGTGCGCTGGATCTGGTAGACGGATACTTCCAGATCCTAATGCGAGAGAGTGACATCCCGCTCACCGCGGTGAGCACTCCAAGCGGCATGCTTTGGGAGTGGCTCGTTATACCGCAGGGCTTGTCTAACGCCCCGGCGACATTCAATCGCCTGGTGACGCAATTGTTTAGGCCACTGCGCGCCTTCGTACAGACGTACTTCGACGACATATTCGTCCATAGCCGTGCCGAGGGAGGAAAGACGGTCATGGAGGTGCATCTGGCGCACCTCCGTCGAGTGTTGAACGTAATGCGAGCGAACAATCTCTACGCCAACATCGACAAGTGCGTTTTCGCGTCACCAGAGATTAAAGTTCTCGGTTGATTCGTAAGCAACGTGGGCGTTCGGGCCGGCCCAGACAAGGTCAAGGCCATAGCAGCCTGGCCAACGCCCCGATCCCAGAAGGATCTTCGAAAGTGGTTGGGCTTGGCCAACTACCTTCACAAGTACAGCGCAGGGTACGCGGGCTTCGCTAAGCCCTTGTCGAGCCTCCTTCAGAAGGACGTCGACTGGCGCTGGGAGCAGGAGCACCAGGATGCTTTTGACAGCATCAAGGCCAGTCTCCAAGAGGCCCCTGTCCTGGCCCTGCCGGACGAGACGAAGCCGTTTAGCGTCGTCTGCGATGCCTCCGATTACGCAATCGGATGTGCATTGCTACAAGCCGACACGGTTGGACACGAGCGAGTCATCTCGTTCCAGTCCAGGCAGCTTAAAGCCGCCGAGCGGAACTACCCTGTCCACGACAAGGAGCTCCTGGCAATGAAATGTGCCCTTGTGAAGTTTCGTGCT